TTTTTTTTTTTTTTTTTTATTAAAATATGGTATTTTTTAAACTTTGTGCACACACATGTAAACATACACACGTACACATACACAGGTATACACACACAAGTAGAAGTGAAGATCGTACAGGGGACGACTTCCTCAGGATTTATCGAATGGGTATACTTGTGGAGCGGAAAACCAAGTCTGGTCACGTTTTCATGAAAGTGCGATTTCACGAGACGAATTGTCGGGGCGCTTCGTACTTTATTTCGGAAGAGAATTCTCCTGGTTATATTGTCCCTTTCTCCTCATTTCCAAATTATTCTCGTATATTAAAAAGCTACGGTCCCAGAATTCAGATCATTGTGGATGTGTGACGGTAATTAATTTACCGAAAAATAATAACGATAAAGAATTTTTCTACTCAGTTTAACGAGTTCTACCTGTTCGGTCGGACATTCAGACACCCTGTATAACAGGGCTCGTACAGTACGGGTGCTAAATTTGCACGCGCGCGAGTGCGATGGTAATAAGAGGAAAATTCCGCTGAAAGTCGACACGCCGCGAATCGTTTGTTACGTGCCAGACTACAGAAAAGAAAAGCCGCAGCCCGGCCGAGGGCGCAGCCGCGAATGAGAAACGAGCTCGCTGAAATTTTTGTTCACGCATTAAAGGCGAGGCTCGAGGATGAGAAATCGGACCACATCCGCTTTAATTTCTGACGGCGTATAAATTCAAGTGTCGGATCATTTTTCGTTTCGTTAGCCGAATTTTCACAGCCATTATTTGCGACTTCCTATTTCACGCGGCGCATTGTTCCTCCCCATCAAACTATACAGGATTTTTCAAAACGTCAAAAATGTTTTTGACGTTCGAGAAAAAATCGATCCCAAATTAATTAAAACACTTATTAAATGCCTTATTGAATGCCGTTATATTACAGATATTTATATACTAAACACAAATTTAAACATACAAGACGTTGTTGATGAATGAACTTTTTGATGAATTGAACTACGGGAACACGATGTGGATAGTGTTGTTCGACGAGCGATTGTTAAGGAAGTTTCGAAAGACTTGGACAGATCGTAGGATCGTCAGCGAAATGCTGGGTCGCATACATATGCAGCGGACGATCGTTTGGCTTTAAGCGTTCGACGTTAACCATAAGCCGCAGTACGAGCCATGTAACTAATCGAACTAGCACATTGGACCGAACCGAACTATCGTCCGCGCTTTGTGGCTAGGATCGCCGACTCCAAAGTTAAAGCTAGTCCATGGAGAACTACTGTTCGTAGATAATGCTCGGGTCCCGACAGTCTTACTTACCAATAACTTCCGCATACTGAGGCAGCGCGAGAATAATGGACACCGCGTGACTCGAGATTCTTGTATACACACAGTCCCTTACCGATCAACAATCACTAAAAATTTTCGTCCAGCCGAATTCGCTTACAATTATATTTTTACATTTTTTTCTCATTACTGTTGATTGATTGAGAAAACGCGAATACTATCGAAGAAATGACATTTTGACAACTTTACGTTTCGTACGCGTCGGTAAAAAGTTGTTTACTCACGTTGTGTAACACGCAGCGAACAAAGAGTAAAAATTTTTGTTCAGAATATTTAATAAAGAACACGATAACAATTATAAACTGACAATTATACAAAATTTCATGCTTTTTTATGCATGTAATTGTATTTCTTTTTCTTTTTTCTTTTCTTTTATTTTTTCTATTTTTATAATTATTTAATTTGAATTATACATTAACTCTACATATAAAATCCATATAGTCATTTCATAATTGCCTTCACCATACCTTTTTTCTCTGACTAAAGGATAAATATGAAGTTTATATATATATATATATATATATATATATTATCTCGTAAACGATGCATAGTAGGGATTTTTACCGAATTTTGATTGCATAATTTTAATTGCAAATTACCTCTGCTGTAAATAGGCAAAAAAAATTATACTGTAAAAAAAATTATAGATATTCATTTAAAAAAACTACGTTAATCTTCATAACTCGAAAGGTCACGAGTAAAAAAAAATTTTTTACATGCATTTTGTAGCTGACTAAAAGTGAAATTTACATGGCTTTTAGTTAGCTACAAAATGAATGTAAAAAATTTTTTTATATTTAAATTATATATATATATATATATATATATATATATATATATATATATATATATATATATATACACACATACAGGGTGTACGTCCATAAATGTCAGAGCAAATATCTCGTAACTGGTTGAAGTTACAAGAAAGTTTAATAAGTGAAATTTACATCGCTTTTAGTCAGCTACAAGATGCATGTAAAAAATTTTGTTTTTACTCGTAACCTTTTCGAGTTATGAAGGTCAACGTAGTTTTTTTAAATGAATACCTATAATTTTTTTTGCATATTTACAGTATAATTTTTTTCGCCTATTTACAGTAGAGGTAATTTGCAATCAAAATTATAAAATCAAAATTCGGTAAAAAATTGCTACTATGCATCGTTTACGAGATAATTGGCATGTTAAATTTTAAAGTAATAAATTGTATTATGAGTATTTTTGAATGTTAAATAGATTGGAATATAAAACAGGTTGAGAAAGTAAACAATGTTTTTTCATGAAATATTTATTAACACATAAATTGCTCGAAATTTTTACCATCATGACCGATATATTATTCAACGCGTTTTATGTTTCTCATTGTTAACTACAGCATTCTATTGTCAGCATTTCTATTGTAATATTTTCAACAGCTCTAATGATCTTATGTCGTAAATCTTCTTCATTTTCAGAAATAGTTGCATAAACAATGTCCTTAATATATCCTCAAAGAAAAAAATCGCAAGGTGTCAAGTCCGGATATTGCATAATTTTGATTGCAAATTACCTCTACTGTGTAAATATGCAAAAACAATTATAGGTACTCATTAAAAAAAATTACGTTGACCTTCATAACTTGAAAAGGTCACAAGTAAAAAAAATTTTACATGCATTTTGTAGCTGACTAAGAGCCATGTAAATTTCGCTTATTAAACTTTCTTGTAACTTCAACCAGTTACGAGATATTTACTCGGACATTTATGGACGGCATCCTGTTTCCAGAGTGTTTACGAATTCCATCGACAAACTGATTGGATGTACTCGTAGTTAATAAAAGATTAATTTTTCATTATGTTTATTTGATCAGATCTGCCTCGCTACGGGGTTATCGGGCGTGAAAGTCAGTGAAAGTGAGATAAGATTACTATCAGTTGCTTCGCAGACAAGTTTGAAGCTGTTATTATTGTTCTTCTTTGTTTACATCACGCTATGCTCCTTTTCAAACATGCGACACGCAAGCTCTTGACGTTTATTTGATTCTCAATATCTTTCTGGATTCTTCCGCACAATGGTCCTCCGATGTGAATTGTGCATTGAAGTTAACGGACAAAATTTCGAACACTTGTTGTAACTGCTAACAATACTCAATAAAGTTGTTTTGCACTCTCTGTACCAATGTCTTTTTTACCATAACGTTTTATAACTGTACTAACTTTCACGCCCGATATCTCCGTAGCGAAGCAGATCTGACCAAATAAACATAATGAAAAATTGATCCTTTATTGACCACGAGTACATCCTATCAGATTGTCGATGGAATTCGCACACTGTCTTTTAAAATGGGATACCCTATACACACACACACACACACACACACACACATACCTTCATAATTCTTCAGCAAAATATATTCAGCAAAAATGTTCCAGACAAAAGTTTCCGGGTTCAGAAGGGGACATCTGAAGATGACCTTGACTTTGACCTTGGAGGTCATTCTGAAGGTTATCCGTAAGTCAACTTTGCTTTTTAAATAAAAACATTTATTTTTTCTTACGGAATTTTATTCTACGTAAAGAAACTAACAACTTTTGATTAAAAAAATTTTTTATGCGACCTCTATTTTCTAAGGTATTTATGGATATATCTACAAAATTATTGTATTTAATAATTTT